GTCGGATTTCTGTGTTAAATCTAAGCTGAATTATCCAACAACAAAAACAAATTTTTAATAAAATATTGGGCCTTATATGACCACACAGGAATAGGAAACTTTGTTTTCCCAAGATTTTGACATGCTAGGCTCCTTGAGCCTGAATGGTATCTTTAATAATGACGCACCCTGCCTCAGTTGGTGGACAGGCCCTTCTTCATCACCTGCCCTTGTTCAGCAACCCCTCCTATGGCAAATCAATTTACATACATCTCTTGTGTAATAGAAAATTTTAAACAATAGGAGATCTTTCAAATAAACATATGATTTAAAAATTCATTATCATGGCCAGGCCGTCGGAAGTAAATCAATAGAGATCTTAAGATAGACCACGGGAAACGACGACGGGGGCAGGAAAACCGCGGATAGACTGGGAACGAGAACGCCATCGGGTGTTGCGCAACAGGTCCTTAAGATAAACAGCGGGAAACGACGACGTGCGGGAAAATCGCTGATAGGCTGGAACGCAAAGCAGTAAAGTTAGTAAACAAAAATGCTATTAATTTTGCAGAAAGTATACGTGTAAATATTGCAATGGGCTCGTTCAGAGATACCAGAAACGTTTTACTTTTGGCTTACGACGAAGATATTATTGATGATGAAGAATTTGTGATTTTGTATGACCTAAATACTTCAACACTGTAGTGGATTACATTTATGACCAACATCAGCATCGTATAACTGGATGGAACCAAACAATTCTGAATCCTGTCAAACTGGAACAGTATACTGCAGCTATCTCAAGGAAGGGAGCAGCTTTAAAAAATTGTTTCGGGTTTATTGATGGGACTGTCAGGTCTATATGTCGCCCTGGGAAAAACCAAAGGATTGTTTTATACAACGGGCACGAAAGAGTACACGCCATCAAATTCCAGTATGTGACATTGCCATCCGGAATGATTGGTCAAATGATTGGGCCAGTAGGTATGTGATTTATAAATATTTAATCAATACGTTTTTCAGAAAATGCTGTAGAACTTCTCATGATCTCACCATGAGGGAGTATAAAGCGATACTGAATACTGTTTCTCACCTTTGAGAGGGTAAACGACATGATACAAGGATGCTGGCAGAGTCTCAACTACTAAATCATCTACAGGAAAATGCTTATTCACAAACTGGTGAGCCTTTGTGCTTGTATGGAGACCCCGCCTACCCTCATCGACTACACCTACAGGCACCTTACAGAAATGATCAAATTGCATCTCAAATGCAAGCTTTTAACACGTTGATGTGTTCTGTACGGGTATCTGTGGAATGGTTGTTTGGTGATATTGCAAATTACTTTAAATTTATGGACTTCAAGAAGAACCTCAAAATAGGATTAAGTTCTGTTGGGAAATTCTATTTAGTATCTGCTCTTCTTAGAAATGCACTTACTTGTCTTTATCATAATCAGACATCAAAGTTCTTTGGAGTGGAACCTCCAACTCTATATCAATACTTCCAGTAAATAAGATTTGTACGTGTACATTACTATAAATCCTCTGTAAAGGCCCTGAGGAACTTATTCATCTCTGGCACAAAATAGTCAACCTCTTACCAGGGTCCTTCCTCTTGCCTAAGGGAGAAAAGACCCTGGTAGACGTTGGTTTACGTGATCTGTTAAACTCTAGCAGATTTTTACTTAGCAATCCAAAATGAGGTGAATAAATATTTGATATTTGGATGATTTTTATAGTCCAATTTATAGTTTTGATTTTGTATGATTGTTGTAAAGGAATCCAAGAAATCTGCTAGATTTTAGCAGAACACGTGACCAGGGTCTTTTGTCCCCAAGAATGTAATTGATTTAGCTGAAAGACAATGCCCAACTCAGCTACACTGTACACTTTATGCGTTTTCAACACACTTCTTTTGATAACAGGGGCAAGTATATTTAGTAATAAATTAAATCATTACCTACGTGTCTCTCTGTTGGGAAAGGAATTGGCCTTATTTGGGGGTGGGTGGAGGAATTGTGGTATCTAAAACAATTGCACTGTGTTTGTGATAACAATAATTACAAATTGTACTTTCAGGCTACTAGTATTTAAGACCCAGTGTCTTTGTAAATATAAGTTATGTTGATATAAATATGGTATCGTTTTGGTCAAAAGTGTTATTAGATGCCTGACAACAAAGGCAATAATGTCACAATATAAACAACAAAAACGTATATATAAAACCCATAACATAACTGTAAATAAATGTTCCCCATAACACAACTAATTATTGGTTTTCAAAACAGTAATTTTTAATTTTACCAAATCTGGACATCATAGCAAGCATCATAGTTTGGAAGTCTTGAATCTGCTTGCTTTGCTGCTGCTTTGCTTTGCTTTGCTGATGCTTTGCTTTGCTTTGCTTTGCTTTGCTGCTGCTCCTGAATGACTATGTTCATTAAGTCATCATGTTTATTCCCTTCCAACTCTAGTGTTTTTTTCTCAGTTCCATTTCTTCTTTTCTTATTTCTTGCTGCATTTCATTCTTTTCTCTTAGGAACAGAAGTGTTTCACTCCCATTTGACCATTTTTTTTACTGCGCCTTTTGTTTTCTTTATCACCTTTTCGTTTTTGGGTTTCTCCTAGCTTTTCCATAGATTTTTTTCGCATGTCTTCTGCACTTTGTTTTTCTTTCGCCTTTATATCAGACTCGTATTCCACTTGTTTGGCTGAAGCATCTTCAATTTCTAATATGTCTTCCAAAGCATCTTCTACCTCAGTCATATCTTTGTCGATGCCGCTTGCTTGTTCTCTTCTCGTAATTTTTTTTTAACTTTTTGTAATAGAAGTGTATACAAAGCTACTTACCATGAACTAACCATGACCGCAGCCGGTGCAACGTTACCAATGTCCTACCTGACTAAGCAATGCAAAGAGTCACTGAATGCATTAACCCATATTGATAGAACACCGGGTGAAGCAGAAGGAGCACAGCTCAATTTTTATGAAACTCTCTGCATGGAAATTCAGAAACATGTAAGTTGTAAAAAATTGCAATAATTAAAGGAAAAATGCCCCAGGCAGATGGGTATGCTTCAATTTAACTGATGTATTGAGACATTTCAATTATCTCCTAATTTTGACCTTCCCCATACACATTTTCCGTTCGGACATGTGATGATTATGTGAAATAGATTTACCACCCCCTCCCCTCTATAACCATCCAGCATGTTAATTTTGATAATTTGTTGAAAGACTAATTATATATGCATTAAGATAGTGCAATAGTTATATGTTCCACCTCAAGGAGAATGGTGTAGACATTCCAGCAAAATATATAAAATAAAAGTAAGTGGCGATGGGGCAAGAATGACCAGGCTAACTGGTTTTATCGTCATTTCCTTTTCGGTGTTGAATGAAGGGAAGGCTGCATTGTATTCTAAAGGTACGTGGCTACAACTTTGTCATGCTGTTTGTTTAATTTGTTTAGTATTTATAGACATATAATAGGCTATGAATATCATTTTTTTTTTCAAGTATTCTTCAGTAGTAAGTGAGAATTAAAAATATGCGTAACCCAGTAAGCCGCATTGCGCCCACTTTGTTCTTTTAGTCAGTCTAACACAGGACAATTTTATTCTTTTGCGAGGAGTGTTGCGTTCTATAATTGGTTAATTAATCAGCAAATTATACTCCAAAAATGATTATGCCCAAACAGACTGTGAGATTGGGCGATGTTATTTAGTACATAATGTTTACAATTAAAACTGAAATTGAAGATTTTTTTCAAGTTTATTCATTTGTGACCAGCTTATATCACACTGAATAATATTGCTCAAATGGTGACTGCGCAACTTTAAATCTACTTCCTCTCGTTAGAAAATCATGTTGTTGCTGTCATCAAGGGGAAGGAGTCTTACGAAAATCTGCAGTCGTAGTGCAGCAAAATATTCAAGGACATAAAAAAAATTGTTGAAAATGGCTTTGTACAAATTGAAGATGATCAAGTAGCAGTGGAGATGTTTGTCGGTGGAGACTATAAGGTAGGTTTTGATAATTATTGATTATTTGTTTTCACACAGCTTGTAATTAAATATCTGGAATTGTGGGGATTTTGTCTCCTTTTGCTGAACATCAAGGTACATCTCCAGATCTCCTACCCTTAGGTGCCAAGCAAGTATCTCAAGATTCTTGCAGTTCCTAATATACAAGCTTTCTGGCCCCCAGCTTCCCTCTCCACATGCATATCAGAATTGTCATGTACCGATAACTATTATTATTATTTAAAATAATAAAAATAATAATTAGTATTAGTATTTTTGTACAAGTGAACATAACAAATCCGACAAGGTGATTGGTCAAATTTGACGTATTAATCTGTTATATTCAACTACAGGTGAATATAACAAAATCAAAATTTTCAAAATGGCGGCTAGCCGTTCTGTTGAAGTTAGTGATACAGAAATAAGCGAAATTAAGATGAATTCAGACCAGAAAAACACAAAAAAACTTGTGCAAAAATACTAAAATAATTATTCGCCTCAGGCTCGGTGATTATCGGGGAATATTCACCTCGACTTCGTCTCGGCGAATATTCCCCGATAATCACCTCGCCTTCGGCGAATAATTGTTAAATAATAATACTGTAATAAAATTAATTATTATTATTATTATTATTTTTTTATTATTTATAATAATTATTATTAATAATTATAATTATTATTTATAAATTTTATTATTATTTGTAATTATTTTTTTCAATATACGTACTGAACCATAGTTCCTTTTGCTATTGTTGGGCATGAAAGGTGCCATATCGGATTATGCCTGCATCTGGTGTAAGATTAGCCCGCGTGCAGGCCCAAGGGAACTGATAGTGGGCCTGCAAGCAAGGCCCGGTATTTTGTGAAACGCCCCTTTTCATAACACGCCCCATTCGCGCGTCAATTGTCAAAAAAGAACCAATGACAGCACCCAAGTATTAACAAACAAACTCGCATTAAAATGTTGCGGGGTTTTCTCTGCTTATTCAGAACATAAACAATGTGTAAATGGCTGCGTTTTAACACCAAAAAAGCAAGCAACGCAGTCAGTAATTGCCAAATTTGCAAGTGTTCATTTTCAACTAAACTTGGAACAGGCAAATTAGGACGAATTTCAACAGAAAACCAGTCTCAAACTTCAAATCGTGAGGGAAGTCGTGCGACCACATTGGCATTTATAAGGTGTACTTCGCTGTCGCCATTGTTATAAATAAATTGTCTCACTTATCAGATCGTGTGTGCAATTCTTGTTGGCGGCGGAAAGTACGAAATTTATTTCAGTTATTTCATTTGGTATAAAAGAACTCTACAAAGAAGAGAGCGTTCAGAGTCCAGATCGTTTCGTTTCAAACGGCAATTTAATACCGTCCTCTGTTTCGCTCTCTCAGCGAAGCCTTGTAAATCGCAAAGTGTTTCGAGTAGGCTTACATGCAACTGCATCTCAACATCAACCAAAAGATAATTTTCTTGAGGAACATATAACGTATCAAGTCTGTTTGAAATTAATGAAACTCAAGTAATTGGTTACTATAGTTTACCCCAGTCGTAATGTTGCTATTCCAACACCTCACGACAAGCAATCCCCATTGGCATAACGGCAAAAACATCTCTTCCTTCAAGTAAACAATAAAGTGATCAATTTTCGGATTTTAAGCATATCGAGACCCTTTGTGATGAATCACTGAACTAATTATAAAATCCAACAGCAAACAGCCAATCAGAATGCCGCGTTCGTGGGCGAACGCGGAAAGTACAAAATACCAGGCCTTGCCTGCAGGCCCACTATCAGTTCCCATGGGCCTGCACGCGGGCTAGTGTAAGATTCACAAAATGTTACGGTAAGATTAATACCCTAGTTTGGCAATTGGTTTAAATTTCATTCAAGTTAATTACTTAGTTTGAGTTAATCCCAAGTTAAATTTGATAGTATTAATTGTTAAAATTCTATCAGTTCAAACATGTAACAAGTTACATATTATCAATGTTAATTAAGATGTGACATGACAAAACCAGAAGACTTTTATCGTTTGGATGACATCCGCAGGACTTTGGATGATATAAGGAGATGTTGCCTTAGAGTTCAATTCTCATGTGAACGCCCTCCACTCCTCAATATTCCATTGGAAAATGTTGTCCTGGATGAGCTTCATTTAATGTTGAGAATTACAGATATGTTTGTGTCCTAAGGAATCTTATTTCATCACCTAAAGATTCTGCATAAGGTCCTGTCTTATATATTGCGTGTGATTTAATCAACAAACAAGCTCATTGGAAATCTGGTAACTGAAGCGATCGAAAGGGACAAGAAAGACAATATAAGCAAAGCACCTTGTGATCGCCAATCGCTTCATCTTAACAACTTGATCGAGGCTATATGTGGTTGTGGGGTGTCATTTCCGGTGTGGGAAAAGCCAAATGCTGACGGCAGAGGAAGTGGAGTTTATGACTTCACTAGTCTGATGGGAACGGACAAGAAGATTCTTCTTGAAAAGCTACCATCAAAACTACATACTGTCACCAGTCCAGAAACAAGTGCTACAGTCATTAAAATTTGGCAGGTACAGACTTACATAGACTTGCGATTTAGAAAATGCATGTCACATGTGTCACTGAAATGAATAAGACCCCAATAGAAAGGCCAATAATTATACAAATCAAACTAAAAGCTATCACAGGTAAATATAGATGTGTTCTGTAAAATTTACTTTCCTTTCACAGGATTTCAACCGACCTAGACCTAGGCCATCTATTTTTATCCCCGAGCCGACGGCGCGAAGCGCCGTGCGAGGGTACTAATCCCCCCAGGCTATTTACACCCGGGGAAACGAAAGCATTAGCGAAGTCTAAAGTTCATCAATTATCGCGGGCGTGGGTCACCAACGATGGGTGGTCATCCTCACTGATCTAAAAAATATGGCGGACTGTCATGAATAGCGAACACTGTGATTCGTCCAATTTAAAGTTTGCATTATAACGACTGCATGACGACAGCGAAATAGCAAACATTTCTTGATAAATTTCTTGCAAATATATTTTATTTTTGCCCGCATTTTTGCAAGATTTTGTAAATTTCAAAAGGTTTCTCAGAAAGAAAGGGCGAAAGAATCGGCTAAAAGAAGAGAGCGGACGTTAGATAAGTTTGTTTTAAATATTGATTTTATAATGGCTTCAAAACCCGACGTCCTTTTATTACAAGACAGCAGCATATGATTTCAGTGTATCTTTGATATTGATTCCCCTTTTAAAACGTTTTGCGAAGCGTTTGTGGTTGAATTGTACCTTAAAGTGTTCTTTATAAAACTATAAAACTGACTTTAATTAAATGGCTTTATCGATAAACTTTCAGTTCGCAATAAAATGATTTCAAATTCTCGCTTGCAAATAATTTTGCTTTCTTTTTTATTTAAAAAATTCAATACAATAAGTGAAGCTTATATTACGTGTATATGATAACATACCTAACATATATATGTTGGGAAATTGATAATTTTGTAATTAAAAGTGATATTTTTAGGCAATTTTTCTTTTGTATTAAGAATATTTTTAAAAAATTATCGTGTTACCTTGAAAACTATACTTCAGATACTTCATGTTCGGAAAATACAATGGTTTTGTCTGCAAGGCGAAGGTTTCTGCATGCATGTATTTTCTAGTTTATATTTTTTTAATATTGAGCGCTTTTTCACATGAAAAGACTGGGACTAGGTGATTTGGAGGCGGGGCGGAGGAAGGACGCAACTCACGCAAGCGAAAAAATAGAAGGCCTAGTGGATTTTATTATTATTATTATTATTATTATTATTATTATTATTATTATTATTATAATATATAATAATATATATTATATATATATATATATATATATATATATATATATATATATATATATATATATATATATATATATATATATATATATATATATAATATATATAATATATATTATTATATATTAATATATATTATTATATATAATATATATTATATATATTATATATAATAATAATTTATTATTATTATTTCGACATTGAGCAGTCGCGTATATACGCTCTCTGTACATGTTCTTGGTTTCATCGAAAAATTTTACATGAATTGATATAGTTACGTTACATTTTGAATTTTATACCTAAAATTAATCAAGTATGATTCGTGCAAGCTTGCTTGCGTTATTTTCAACGCTAATAATATGTGGATTTTGTGGCAAGGAATTTGAATCGTTAGGCCGTCACTCGTGGCGGTGTAAAAGTAAAGTTGGGAACGAACGAGAATCCACTTTGAATGTTAATCCTGCTATGGAAATGCCTACACAAATGTGTCTACCTGTAAAATCTTGCAAAGCAGTCAAATGTTGCTGTGGTAAAGTCTGCAAAGGAGCTCGTGGACTTAAAATGCACCAACGAAGCTGTAGAGTTATTGACGACCTTGAAGACGAACTGCAACAACAAATGACTGAAGCATTGAACGACGACAATCATGAGGATAACACTGACCCAGTTAACCCTGAAATATCACCTTTGAACACCCAAGAAAACTTCCCCGATTTAAAAAGGGGGATAAAACTACCCAAATCGCCATTACAATGGTCAACTGCCAACGACTTTTTCAAGTTAACTTTTTTGAATCATCCAATCACACCGGATGATCTAAATAACAACATCAATACCATGGTAAACGTCGTCTACAATTACTTTAGTGGGAATTTTGGACATGTTGATAACAATAGCAGTGTAGAATTCGAAAGAAAATACCAAACATTTTCAACAAAGGATTTAAAAAAAGCTTTAAAGAAATTAAAACTGGAAAACGGTAGTATTCTGGAGATAAAATTTGTCGCGAAGAAATTGCGCATACTCCTTAATAAGTCAAATAATACGGAACTAAATAATTCTGATAGTCATGCATCTGCAGACATTGATCACGATAATCTAATTGGTAAAAACTTCTGGGGTTACGTTAAAAAATTTTTCAAAAAGAATACCAGTTCACTTCCATCATTTAATTTAGCGCAATGTACATCCTATTTTACCAAAACATTTTCCGCGATTAACCCAAATAAAACATTCAATATTCCTAGTTGGATCCCAAAATTTGCTTCTCCTCAAACACCTTTTAAGCTTGACCCCCCGACCTATCAAGAGATTACAAACGTCATACGTAAAATGAAACTGTCTGGCTCACCATGCCCACTTGATCAGATATCAATAATCTGTTTTAAACGATGTCCGTATCTACGTTCCTACTTGACTGAGATAATCCATGCAGCTTGGTCACGCGGTGTTGTTCCATCTGAATGGAAAAAAGCATGCACAATATTAATTCACAAGAAAGGAGAAACAAACGACCCAGCAAACTTTCGACCAATTACTCTTGAATCCATCCCGCTTAAAGTCTTCACATCATGTCTTCGAAATAAAACATTTGAATTCCTGTCAGACAATAATTACATAGAACAAAACATCCAGAAAGGTTTCACTCCAAAACTCTCAGGAACACTAGAACATACTGCTCAGATGGCACATATAATTAACACAGCGCGTACCAAGCAACGATCTATAGTTATTACATTACTCGATCTTAAAAATGCATTTGGCGAAGTCCATCATAACCTCATTTACGAAGTCCTTGATTATCATCACGTTCCTAATCACATAAAGAACCTTATCTGCAGTCTTTACACTGATTTCCAAACTTCCATCATAACCGAACAGTTTAACACCCCCTTCATTACAGTCGGTCGTGGCGTTCTTCAAGGCGATTGTCTCAGTCCACTTTTATTCAACATGTCATTCAATACTTTCATACAACATATTAAATCTGAAAAATACCGTCAGCTTGGATTTTGGAAATTAAGTGAAATTGGCATTCCGTGCAATCCTATACATTGGTTTCAGTTTGCAGACGATGCTGCTGTCATCAGTAGCCAAGAGAAAGAAAATCAAATGCTCCTTAATCGTTTTACAATCTGGTGTCAATGGGCTAATATGATTATACGCGTTGACAAATGTTCAACATTTGGCATTAAAAAACACTTAACTAAATCTATCCAGTATTTACCCAAGCTTTTCGTTAATAACGATCTTGTACCCAGAACCGAAATGGGCAAATCTTTCCGTTACTTAGGTCGCTATTTCGATTTCAATATGTCTGATGAGGAACACAAATCGGAATTACTCGACGTGTTTAATGACATCATGAATAAAATTAATGAACTACCTTTACACCCGAAAAATAAAATTCTACTATACAGTCGTTACTTGCTGTCAAAGATATCCTGGGACTTCACTGTTTCTGATATATCTAAGACCTGGATCTGCGAAACGTTAGACAGTATTGCGACAAAATATATCCGAAAATGGCTGGAACTTCCTGTCTCTGCAACCCTTAGCAACGTGTTGCTTCCACAAAACAAATTTGGTCTGAATATTATTCTCCCTTCGACAAAATTTATCCAATGTCAAACTGTCTCTCGATCAGCTTTAAAATACTCACCAAACGTAGATATTAACAATCTATGGGCGGTGACGAGCACAAACAAGAACATACAGTATGACATTTACAAAGACACAAAAGACGTACTTAAAGCAGTTAGAAAAGAAAACGAACAAAGACTTCAAAACCACCTCATTTCGCAAGGTTCTTTCTTTTCCAGTATCATGAATCATTCCACATCCACATTCAACTCTTTATGGTCATCCGTTCAGAGCAAACTTCCGAAAAACATTTTTAACTTCACCATCCGATATATCAATAACACACTTCCAACACGAAAGAATCTATCAAAATGGGGACTATCATCAACATCCGATTGCTCTTTCTGCTCCGCACCTGAAACGCTGCTCCATGTGATTGCTGGATGTAAGACATATTTAGACGAAGGCCGGTTTACATGGCGACACGATTCTGTTTTAAATTTCCTCGCATCCACTCTTACTGCTGTGAAAAATTCCACACTTTACGCGGACATTCCTGGTTTTATGAATCCATCTGTTATCACGGGAGATCGTTTACGACCTGACCTTCTGCTGGTGACTGAAAACAGATGTCTATACATCCTCGAGCTTACAGTCGGTTATGAATCCAATCTGCTAGTTAACGCCAATCGTAAGCGTCAAAAGTACCGTGATCTAATCAATGAGCAGGAAGCAGATTATGATAAAGTCAAGTTCGTCAATTTATCCTTGAGTACCCTCGGAGTTTTTGGCCGATCTTGTGAAAATTTCGATGGCATGCTAAGTAGCCTTAAATGTGATGCCAAGTATAGTAAATACATAAAAAAGCAAATCGTGAACATATGCATACGAACATCATATTATGTATTTTGTAAACGAAACAAGGTGTGGGATAACCCAAAATTAATGTTAATATAATCCTTCTTAAAATAACTATTGTACAATAAATATATAGTATCAATTCAAGTAGACATTGATAAACTACCTGTAAAGCGAGGTTTATCATTGTAGTTGTATATATCCTAATAATCAATAAATAAAGTTTCCATTATTATTATTATTATTATTATAAGTAAATTAAAAGTATTTACATCTTGTCTTCGAAACGCAATATATTCCTTCCTCGCATCCAATAACTTTATCGAACACGGCATACAAAAGGGCTTCACCCCTAACCTATCTGGCACTCTAGAACACACTGCGCAAATGGCTGACATTATCAACAAAGCCCGGATCAGACAACGTGCTGTTGTCATCACCTTACTTGATCTGAAGAATGCTTTCGGCGAAGTCCATCATAATCTCATCCAATCAGTACTCGACTACCACCACATCCCAGAACACATAAAATTCGTTATAAAAAGTTTATACACTGAGTCCCAAACCTCAATAATTACCTCGGAATTCCGCACCCCTTTTATATCTGTTGGCCGTGGCGTATTGCAAGGGGATTGCCCCAGTCCTCTTCTTTTCAATATGTGCTTCAATACTTTTATCCAACATATCAAAGCTGAAAAGTACCGTCAGTTTGGCTTCTCCTTCAAGCTATTAAATCCTATCCACTGGTTCCAATTCGCTGATGACGCAGCCGTAATCACTGGCCAAGAATCTGAAAACCAGCATCTCTTAAATCGTTTTTCCATCTGGTGCCGATGGTCCAATATGATTATCAGAGTCGATAAATGTAGTACCTTTGGCATCAAGAAAGCCATCACAAAATCAGTCCAATATTTGCCGAAACTCATCATCAGCAATAATCTGATACCAACAGTAAAGATTGGAGAAGCATTTCAATATTTAGGACGTTACTTTGATTTTAACATGTCGAACGATAACCATATATAAGACAGAACTAACCACTCTCGTTAACCAACTAATGACTGATATTGACTCGAAGCCACTCCACCCAAGAAATAAGCTTCTCGTATACAGTCGTTATGTCTTATCCAAAATATCGTGGCATTTCACCATCGCAACACTTTCTAAAACATGGGTTATTGAAAATATTGATCCCGTAGTCAACCAGTACATCAGTAAATGGCTTGAGATTCCAATCTCAGGAACACTAAGTACTGTTTTTCTAACTCGCAACAAATTTGGTCAAAGTATTTATCCTCCATCGGTGAAATTTATCCAATGCCAAACAGTTCTTCGAAAAGCTTTAAAACTTTCTCCAAATCAATCAATCAACGAACTGTGGAAACCTACTAATACTCATACCAATATCCAATACGACTTTTATAACTCAACCAAAGAAGTGCTTAATTAAAGACTTTCGGTCTGAACATGAAGATAAACTCCAAAATCAATTAACTTGTCAGGGATCCTTTTTCTCTAGTGTAACAAAGTTCTCCTTGTCGCACCTTAGCAAAGTGTGGTCTATACTGCTCAATCAAAACTTCCGAAAAACATTTATAACTTTACCATACGCTATATCAATAACTCTCTTCCGACAGGTAAGAACCTTAGCAGATGGGGATTGTCTTCAAGTTCAGAATGCTCCTTTTGTCTTGGCCCAGAATCATTATTGCACGTGGTCGCTGGATGTCAGTGTTATCTCGATCGATTTACGTGGAGACACAATTCAATCTTGAACTTCCTTGCCAATACCTTGCAAACTGTGAACGGTTCTGCACTCTACGCTGATGTGCCTGGATTCAAAAGTCCTTCAATAATAACTGGTGATACGTATCGCCCGGATTTGTTGCTATCGTTATCAAATGGCTCTCTTTATGTGGTCGAGCTCACTGTTGGCTATGAGACAAACCTCGAGAACAACGTTAATCGGAAAAAGCCAAATATAAAGAACTAGTAAAACAACTAGACGAAAATTTTAACGAAGTAAACTTTATAAATCTTTCTATGAGCTCCCTAGGTATTTTTGCGCAAGAATGCTCTACATTCTTAGAAATGTTAGGAAATGTTGGTCTGGACAAAAACTACCAAACGTACTGTGTTAGGAAAATGATGACTATTGCCATTCGAAGTACATACTATATTTTTTGCTGCCGAAATAAGGAATGGGAAAGTCCAGACTTGTTAACTATTTGAAATATCTGATTGTCTTGTATATTTATATATTTTCATGTATTCTGTCTTATCATTTTTATTAGTTCATATAGTTGTGATTCAAATAGCCAATTGTAAGTTACCTTAAATTAGTGAGATTTACAATTGTATATATATAGTATATAACAAAATTATTAAAGTTTCCATTATTATTGCCTTAGTATATATAGATGAACTTGCAGGTTGGAGGCCGTAGTTTGCAGGTTAGAGATCTCGGTTGGTCAGGAGGGCTGCACCGGAATCGTATAAATAATGCAACCGCACGTATACAGGCGTTTTGCGATAAACGCGAAATTTGGGGATAAATCACGGAATTTGTGGATACAAAACGTATATAGTATTAATTTGCGGTTAGAGCTCGACAACTGGCCACTAAACTCTCAGTTGATTAGAGCGCGCCACCGCAATGGCTTGGGCTGCCCTGGTTTGATTTCTACCAGACGACCTACAGTATATAGTTGACAGTTGCTCCAGGTTAGGTCTAATAAATGTATAAAATTCACACTCGAAATTTTCGCCAACAAAACTCTTCTACACTCAGTTATATTTAATGTATAGATGCCCAAAATCTAGTCTCCTTCGCAGCAGCTCTTTGTGTCGAGCTTTCTCCGCGACACAAAGAGCGGCTGCGAAGGAGACTACCCAAAATCCTGATGTGATGATACTTAAACTCGTTATCTTACATCTATCAAGCTTACGCAACTTATGTTTATAATTTACTCTCTATATTATATTATATTATATTATATTATATTATATTATATTATATTATATTATATTATATTATATTATATTATAGTTCTATTATATTATATTCCGATGGACGATGGCCAACGCATAAAGAAACACTTCAGAGGAAACACTTAGACTGACAGCCGATATATTTCGTTACCCCTGCCAAAAAATAGCCAAGTATACTCATCTTTCAATGTAGCGGATCGACTGAACATTAAATCTTGTGATGAGAAAAATGTATTTTCGGTTTATCCTTCGGCTCAGTGACCAGTGGCAGTGTGCTGTACAGCCTACGTTTAAACCGTTATACAGTATATCGTTACTGCTTTCATTCTTTCATCCGTTTTGCATATTCGGAACTGATCATTCACAACATATATTATAAAACTGTATGATATAGCTGTAGAACTATAAATGCTGTAGAATAAAATAAATAAAGAAAACTAAGTTTTATCACGGTATTTGACGATAAATCGGTAATCGCTACAGAAAAACGGAACAAATTACAGTAAATCACAACAAACTGCGGAAGTGGGACAATTCTTGTATTTTCACTGTAAGACATGTAGAACATGTACGAAATCCATACAGAAGCATGTGTGTATTCTATGCTTTGAAACAACTAAACCAGACTTCGGAAAATTTGACAGTATTACAGTAATAAAGCTGCGTTTGTTTTGAGAATTTAGATTTTAAATTTTAGGTCTTCGTTTTACATGTACCCAGTAAATATTTTGGAGTTTTGAATTTTGATTCTCAACTACTCAAGCTAGGCAAGGAGGGCAAGATCGTAAGAATCGCTTGTAAACATGAGAAGTTTCGAGTTTAAACATCATGAAATTGAAACGAGTAATTTAACGTATTTAATTGAATTCGGGATGCCAGTCAAGTGTACGTGTATTTGATCGGAATTGTAACAAATACACACATACACACATACAAACCCAGATGATTACATAACCTCCTGGCGGAGGTAACTATGGCTTTTGGCAGTTTTGCATCATATGTGTTTTTTAAAAGCCCAATTTTCTTACATCCCCAACGTGTAAAACGCCAAATAACTTAATAAATAAAAACAAAAATTTGTAATAGTAAACAGTGTATTTTATTATAAAGGATTTTCGTTTTTCTACTGATCCGTACTTCGTGTGCTCCGTGTTTTACTAATAGCCGGGAGAAAGCGGATCTATAAGTAAAAGCCCACAAGACCAATAGTTATTAGCTTTAGGTTTTTTTGGATGTAAAGAGTAGTAGTTTCTACATCCTTTCCTAAAAACATCTGGTGTTTCTTCCAAAATATTTTGCTCGGCTGCTAGGTCTTGTTGACCTTCCTGGCTGTCGGTAAAAGTGCTCTATACCATACACACGGGACGCAATTCGACAACGCAATGCGATTTTTCGATTTTAATTTCACTGAACGATAACTTTGATCCTAGTTTAAGTTGCCCAAATATTCAGAAGCGCTATAACATTTTGAGTTATTTGGTCTACATATCATTCAAAATTTGCCCTCATATGCATTGGCTGTTTTATTAACTTTCAAAAACTAAAAAATCGTGTCGCGTTGTCGAATCGCTCGAAATCGCGTCCGGTGTGTAGTGGACCTTAAGACCTTAACTCCTAAAAGTGAAATTCATCATATAAACGAATTCAACGACATGCCACTAAATACATATACTTCAACCACCATATTGCTGCCCTGACAGATAAAACTAAGAACTACTTATCCAAGCGACTTATCTGGGTTTTTTGGTCATGGTATACTATACTATTTAAACATACTAACAACACAACTTACACAGATAGAGCACTTTTACTGACAGTCAAAGAACCAGGAGGTAGGTAGAGGTAGGTAGGTAGAACTTTATTTAACTACCCTAACCCCTACAGCGAGAGCTGATTTCCAAGGGGGGTGTAGGGGGGTGTATGGACCTTAACTCCTAAAAGTGAAATTCATCATATAAACGAATTCAACGACATGTCACTAAATAGATACTTCAACTACCATATCGCTGCCCTGACAGATAGAACTAAGAACGATTTATCCAAGCGACTTATCTGGTTTTTTTGGACATGGTATACTATACTATACTATTCAAACATACTAACAAACAGGGCCTTTTTTAAGGATTTTCCCGTGGGGGGCGGGGGCATTTTTTGAGAAGGAACCTTTCTGTGAGATAATATATTAGATGGGGATAGCAATGGCTGAAGGCCACGTGTGTGACCAATATACCACGCATGATTGGGGGGTCTGGGGTGTACTCCCCCAGAAAATTTTTGAAATTTGAATCCCGGAAATGGCATTTCCTGCTATCTGAGCATCCAACTTTGCTCCAAAATTTATGCTAACTATACTTGTATTTGAAATAAATAAAGGAAAAAATGCACAAAAAGTAAAAAAAATAACCATCATTTATCATTACTTATTAGAGGAGGACAGCAATGGTCACGTGTGCAGGGGTGTACTCCCTGGCCAGAAAATTTTTGAAATTGGAAGCACTGAAATGCCATTTACTGCATTCTGAGCATCCAAATTTGCTCTAAAATTTATGCTAACTATACTTGTATTTGAAATAAAAGAAGGAAAAAATGCACAAAAAGTAAAATAGAATATTAACTGTAATTTATCATTACTTATTAGAGGGATAATCCCCAGAAAATTTTTGAAACTTGAAACCCGGAAATGCTATTTCCTGCATTTTGAGCATCCAAAAAATAAAAAAATTATTAACAATAATTTATCATTACTTAGTGGTTAGCCTGCGAACAGGCTCTCAAGCTGAATTGAGAGCCTGCATCGATGACTAATGAATTTGAATATCTGCCCCGTAACGTTCGTTTTTCCAAATATGGAATGCCTATCCTTATATGGTGTTGTTTACAACTTTCGTTGAAACTAAATTTAGACCGTGCAAACTAAATTTAGACCGTACAGTTTATACTGTTTTTCGAAATATAAGATATTGAAGCAAAAGTTCAAATGTTTTAAATACTGTTTTCTCAAATCAGATCATTTCGTGCTTTGAGATAAGATGGCCAAAACCAATTTGATCATTTAATGTGT